ACCATGACCAAGTTAATGGTGATAACAGGAAGGGGACTGATCAGAGGTGACAAAGACAGCATTGGTGAAAATGAAGCAAGTAGGAACCAGGACTTGACCATTGAGTCATCCTACAAATATTTCATAAGCATCTTATGTGCTACACGCTGAGCCAGGAACTGGAAATCCAGAGATGAAGGAGAAATGGACTCTGTCCACAGGAATTCACAGTTTATTTTATAATACAGATGAGGCATAAGAGGTTGTGAAGGCACCAAAGAGGGAATGAGTACTTTTGCTTGGAGGAAGCCATGAAGGCATCAGGAAGGAAGAAGCCAAAATATGCAGAGTGGACTGTGGGGGCCAGAGGCATTGAAATCCAAGAGACCAGCTTGTCGGGGCTTGGAGCATAGTTCTGTGAAATGCTGGGAGGGATAAGAATAGAAGTGGAGGAAAATGCAGTAAAGGCAGGCCTGGGGCAGACTTTGTAGGGTCTGCATTTGAGGAGTTTCCAGGATTCTCAGGAGGAAGTGGATAGAGAGAACAGTGACACAGTCACGGCCCAGAGATGCCAGTTTGGGGTGTCATAAGTCCATAAGTAATGGTTGAAATAATGAAAGTATATAAGCTATTATAGAAGAAGGAAACAAAGTGGGATGAGAACAAGGACTGAGAATGGGATACTGGAACCACCATTTCAAAGGTGTGAGACTAATATGAAGTGGCTAGAGGGCCCTCCAGACCATGGATCCTGGTAGAATCCATACACAGTACATTGATTTTTTTTTTTTTTTTGAGAGAGAGGGTCTCACTCTGTTCCCCAAGTTAGAGTGCAGTGGTATGACCAAGGCTTAGTACAGCGGTACCCAAACCTCTTGGGTTCAAGAGATTCTCCCACCTCAGCCCTCTGAGTAGCTGGGACTACAGGCATGTGCCACTATATTTGGGAAAAATTTGTGTTCTTTGTAGAGACGGGGTCTTGCTTTGTTGCCCAGGCTGGTCTCGAACTCCTGGGCTAAAACAATCCTCCTGTCTCAGCCTCCCAAAGCAGTGGGATTACAGGCATGAGGCGCTGTGCCTGACCCAGAACTGTTTTTTATGTAAGTGAAAAAAAATACTAAATAGGAATGGGCACGGTGGCTCATGCCTGTAACCCCAACACTTTGGCCCAGGCAGGAGGATCTCTTGAGCTCAGGAGTTCCAGGCCAGCCTGGGCAACACAAGGAGGCCCCATCTCTCTGGGAAAAAAAAAAAAAAAAGCCAGGCCTGGTGGCTCAAGCCTGTAATCCCAGCACTTTGAGAGGCCGAGGCGGGTGGATCATGAGGTCAGGAGTTTGAGACCAGCCTGACCAACATGGTGAAACCCTGTCTCTACTTAAAAAAAATACAAAAATTAGCCAGCAATGGTGGCACACACCTGTAATCCCAGCTACTTGGGAGGCTGAGGCAGGAGAATCACCTGAACCTGGGAGGAGGAGGTTGCAGTGAGTTAAGATCACACCACTGCACTCTACCCTGGGCAACAGAGTGAGACTCTGAACTAAAAAAAAAAAGCAGGGCATGGTGGCATGTGGTCTGTGGTCCCAGCTACTAGGGAGGGAGAGGGAGGCTTAGCCCAGGGTGTGGAAAGATTGCTTGAGTCTGGGAGTTTGAGGCTGCAGTGAGCTGTAATCATGCCACTGCACTCCAGCCTGAGAGACAGAGACCCTCTCTTAGAAAATAATAATACAAAATGATACACACACTATGTAAAAATGGGATGTTGTTTCATAGGGACAAAAATCTGGTCAAGCACACAAATGTAAAAGCATGTTATATTAACATGATAGAATTATAGTTTTTCCAGTGTTAGTTTTATCAATTTTTTTGCTCTGATTACAATAAAAAGATAAAATATTTTGTGAAAAATAAAATCATTATCCCATATTTGAACTGAATCCCTTTAGGAAACTGATACCCAGAGAGGGAAATTAATGTAGCCAATATTACTCAGCCCGTGAATAACAAAGCCAGACTTAAATTCTTACCTGCAGATTTTGCCTGGTGCCTGGGCCATTCCAAGCTGGTATTTTGGTTGCTTCGGGAGTGATGCCAGTTGTGAGCTTGCTTCCCAGCTTCTCTCAATCCATACATAACTGCTGCTCTCTTTGTGCTCTCAGACTCCAAGCTGCTTGTTGCTCTTCCAACAGCATGGGGTCTGTACAGCTATTCTGGTACAGGTCTAAGAACAGCTTTTCATTTGCCTCCATTAATTTCTTCCTTTTGGCCCACAGAAGTCCACAAAGTACCTTCCTAAGCCCCTTCCAAGCACCTTTCAATCATATTCATAAATGATTTGGGGATTATCTACTGCCTTGAATTATTTAGGCCATTACTTCCCCTCCATCAAAGTGACTGAACTTGGATTCAGTGAAATTTACTATATTCAAATGATGACAAAAATGTATTCAGAGTTATATTCAAACGAATATGGCCTTCCAACTCATATACACACAGACCTGCCATTTCTTTGTGGAGTAAAGGGGGCTGTTTGTCCCATCTCTTCTTTGAAGACGGCAACACTTATTCAAGTGAGATCTGTAATGAGGATTGGGGTATCCTTACCTGCAGCTACCTGCACTGCCAACCCCTCAACTTCCCTCCTTTATACACACGCCCTTCTAATTCCCTTCCTGGAAACTCCTCATACTAGGTAAAAATTGAAGTCATTCAGGATGCAGAAAGAATCCAAATATTTTTCAGATTTTCAGGAAGTTGATACAGTCCAGAGCAAAAATTGTTCTAACTCAGAACACATGAGAGTGGATGCTAAGATGATTTATCACCCAGAGCCCTTCAGAAGTGAAGCTCCGGCCATCTGTTTGTCTGTGAGGAAGGTGCTGCCTGGAGGCAGAGGACACTCAGCCTCTTAGGGCCTCACTTGCCCCTTTCATGAGCTTCTACATTCGTAGCATCTGTGTTTTGGTGCATACATGTCCCCTGCACAAGATCTATTTTTCCAACCCCTTCATCTCCACTCTTTTTATTTTTTTGGAGACAGGGTCTTTCTTTTGTCGCCCAGGCCGAGGGCAGTGGTGCCATCATAGCTCAGTGTACTCTCAAACTCCTGGACACAAGCGATCCTCTTGCCTCTGCTTCCCAAAGTTCTGGGATTACAGGCTTGAGCCACCATCCCTGGCTATTCTTCATTTTACTCTGCAATCTCCTAGTTTTTCACAGGGATGATCTTGTGCCTCTCTCTCTTCCACCTCCTCTATCCAAGCTTATAGGTTGGGTCTCCAACCACCCCTCTTCTCTGTTTTGAGTGAAAGAAATATGGGGAAACGCAAAGGGTGGGGATGAGAGATCCAATCTCTGAGCCCAGGTACTGTTCTTCACCTCCCTCTACAGGCAGGCGGGGCCTGTCTTTTGCAGGGTTGGGCAGAGGGTGGTGGGGTTGGTGGGGAGAGGAATCAGGGAAATGGTTTCTACCTGCCCCATGATCCTTTAGGCTGATGAATGAGACAATAGGAGATCCCCAAAGAAAGTTCTCATTCTCATGCTAAATAAGGCAGCAAAAATTTCAGACAGAAATAAGAACCCAACTGGTTTAGTGAGACTCTAGAGGTCAGTAATTTCCACTCTTGTTGCAACATCCAGATGCTCCAATCATGTCAAGGAGGGTTATAAAATTCTCAAAGTGATTATCTTTAAATTTTTAACAGAAATATACCACACAGATAACTGTTCTTTCTCACAAATATGTAATCACACACACAAAAAAAGAATTGAAACTGTTTTTCAAGGTAATGAATCCCTGGTTTTAGACATCATTGCTGAGATGATGTGCTGGGGATCAGGAGTGCTGGGGATGGAGAGATGCTCCAGTCCTCAGGAAGAGAAAGATGGTAGTTACCCCTCTTCCCCACATTTCTGAAGGAAATGAGGAAAAACCTTCTACACCTTTCTTTCTCTCAATCACCCTTATTAGCTCTCTACTCTCTGAAACACAAAAATAAAAAATGGGAGCCAGGTGCAGTGGCTCACGCCTATAATCCCAGCACTTTGGGAGGCTGAGGTGGGCGGATCACAAGGTCATGAGTTCGAGACCAGCCTGGCCAACATGGTGAGAACCCGTCTCTACTAAAAATACAAAAATTAGCTAGGCCTGGTGGCACGTGCCTGTGATCCCAGCTGCTTGGGAGGCTGAGGCAGGAGAATCGCTTGAACCCAGGAGGCAGAGGTTGCAGTGAACCCATATCGCACCAGTGCGCTCCAGCTGGGGCGACAAGAGCGAGACCTGTCTCAAAAAAACAGGGAGAGGAAAATGGGGAAAGAAGAACTGAGAAGATGATAAAAAGGAAAATACAGTAACTAGAAAGGACAAGGAACCATGAAAAGGTCAGGGGAGGGAAATTAAAAGGACAGAAAAAATACAGAGGGAGGAAGCATCCTGTGACCTGCTGTAGAACCAAACATGTGGCTGCACCACACCATTGAGCAGCAGGGAGCCCCAGGCCTGCTTTCTTCTGGAAGCTCTGTGGCAGCCTCATCCTCTGACTCCAGCTCCACGTGCAGACAGGACTAGAAGGGTAAGGCAGGAACTAGCGCAAGGCGGGTGTCACAGACTACAGGCCCAGGTCTCCAGGAGCTGGGCCGTCCTGGTTCCTGCCAGGAATAGCTGAAACATACAGAAGCAGAGGATTTGAGTGTAGAGTGGAGTGGGGAGAAACAAAGGGGAAACAGGCTGAAGGAATGGCCTATCCCATTCATTCCTACACAGCAAAGCAAGAGCCCTAGTTTACCTGCCCTCCTACCCCATCCCCATCTCCACCCCCTATTCCTACCCCTACCCTTGCTGCAGCTGTAGAAGCAGAATTTCTTTCTTTTTTATTTTCTTTTTTTTTTTTTGAGATGGAGTTTCACTCTTGTTGCCCAGGCTGGAGGGCAATAGCGTGATCTCGGCTCACTGCAACCTCTGCCTCCCGGGTTCAAGCGATTCTCCTGGCTCAGCCTCCCGAGTAGCTAGGATTACAGGCATGCACCACCTCGCCCAGCTAATTTTGTAAGAAGCAGAATTTCATAAGCTGCAGCAGCTGTGGTCAATACCTCAGCTCCCCACGAGCTCCCTTCTCCAGAAGACAGCAGCAGCATAAAGAGGAATGAAAAGGAAAGGGTACCATCATAACCCTAAACCTTTTCATCTCAGCAGCCCCCAAATATATCAGCAAGCTCAATTCTCAGCATTTCCTCCTCCCTCCTTGGCTCATAACCAAATGATCAATCAAAAAAGGCTTTGCTGAGAGGAGGCATAAGGCTATTGAGCCAGCATCACCTCTTCCCATGTGGGAGGGGGTATCACATTATACACATAAACAGAAGCACCTGTTTCCAGAGGCAGCATGGGGCAGAAAGAGCTCATAAAGAGTCCCAGATTGTTATAAGAAAAATAATAATTTGATGGGGTTAAAATTAAATGTCCAAATTGAGGTTGCTTATGGAATTTAAAGGGGATGTTGAGAACGTGAGGTGGCGAGACTAGGAAGGGAAGAAAAGACAAAAAGAAAAATACACACAATATAGTAGACAAAGGGGAGAAACCATAAAAAATACAGCCTCACAAATAAAGGCAGAAGCTAAGAGAGAGGAGGAAGCCAGCACCTGGAAAGCAAGATGTTACAGCTGGGGAGGGGGAGGGGAAAGCCGGAGAGCAGCAGGAAGAGGAAAAAAGGCCAAGGAGCCAAAGAGCTAAGAATCAGATCCTTCCTTTCATCTGTCTTCATCTTGTCTGTGACTTCAAGCAGGTGAGTTGTTGGGGTATTCTCACAGTGGCTACTGCCTCATCTTGGCCTGAACAACGGAATCCCACAATGCCTGTGTGGCATGCCCACGCACACCATTTGGCCCCCAGCTTTCACCTTGTCTTCCTGTTCCCCAACACACCTTCACAGGTCACTCTCAAGGCTTGGGAAGCACCTTGGTGTGTCCACGGGATAGAATGAGCTCTCACCCCAGCTCACACTTAATTCTAAAGAGCAGAGGCTAAGGGCTGCTGACTCTAACAGAGCGATTTAGAACTGTGCTCAGGCCAGGTGCTGTGGCTAATGCCTGTAATCCCAGCACTTTGGGAGGCCAAGGCGGGCCAATTGCTTGAGGTCAGGAGTTCCAGACTAGCCTGGAGAGAGAAAGTTGTGCTTTCTCTACTAAAAATTTTAAAATTAGGCCAGGCGCGGTGGCTCATGCATGTAATCCCAGCACTTTGGGAGGCCGAGGCAGGCATAAAAATATAAAAATTAGCTAGGTGTGGTGACAGGCGCCTGTATTCCTAGCTACTCAGGAGGCTGAGGCAGAATTGACTGAACCCGGGAGGAGGAGGTTGCAGACAGCAGAGATTGTGACATTGCACTCCAGCCTAGGAGACAAGAGCAAGACTCTGTCTCAAAACAAAAAAAATTAGCCAGGTGTGGTGGTGGGCGCCTATAGTCCACCTTGCTGAGGCAAGGAGAACCGCTTGAACCTGGGAGGCGGAGGTTGCAGTGAGTCCAGATCACACCACTGCGCTCCAGCCTGGGCCACAGAGCTAGACTCTGTCTCGAACAAAAACAAAAACACACCAAAAAAAACAGAACTGTGTGTTCAGTGATCCAGTGAAGGGGATTCCCACACAGTGTCCTCCATTTTCCCCAGGCTGCCAGTGCTGCGTTGATTTCACAAGCTCTGATACCCTTTACTGAAGACAAAAGGAGAGGCAAAATTGCCCAGTTCCTGACTTCTCCAGCACACTGAGGCAAGATTCCCGGGAGGAAAGTTAGGAGCGATGATGAGCTCATCTGAATGAGTGCCATGCAGACACAGCCTCTCACTGAAGGGAAATGAAACCAAGACATAGTTGCTTAGGAAAAGGAGCATGGGTGTCAAAACCCGGGAGTTGTGCTTTCCAGTGGGCCTGAGACAGACAAAGTGACATGATGTTTAGAGAGCAAGAATGAGATGAAAAGGGAAGAGGGCAAGCAGTCTCAGGCTTCCATGGGAGGAAATAAATAATGTCCAGAAGGGTCGGCTCTGAAGTGGACCAAATGGCTCTCCTGTCCCATGTTTATGAGGTCATGGACCATTAAGCCAGCCAACCTACAGATGTCTTCATAAGACTTTACGAGATTAGACTGGAGAGACCCTATAACTCAGCAAGAAAGGCAAACAAGTGGAGAGAATTGCAGATAAGAGACGGTAGAAACAAGTACTCAGCTCCAGAGGCGTCACAACTCAGAGGGAGGATGTCTAGTTTGGGGACCCTTTCATCTTCCTCACTTCTCTCTTCTGTGAGTTTCTGCCCATCTTCATTAGATTCAGGACCACATCCGGCTTATATTACTCAATAGATTATTGATTATCCACATACTTTTTTCCCCCTAATCTAACTTCCAACTGACCTCACATCATGTTCCTAACCCGCAACCATTTGGTCCTCAGAGAATTTTCTTTGGTATTTGCGACGTAAATCAGCAAGATAAAATACATTACATTAACAGAGACATGGCCGACTGTAGCCCCTGGCAGCCGCGGCGCCCCTGCGAGGCCTACCGCGCCGAGTGGAAGCTCTGCCGCAGCGCCAGGCACTTCCTGCACCACTACTACTTTCACGGCGAGCGGCCGGCCTGCGAACAGTGGCGGCGCGACCTGGCCAGCTTCCGCGACTGGGAGGAGCGCCAGAGCGCCGAGGCCCAGCGATCCCTCTGTGAGAGCGAGCAGGCACGAGTCCAGGCTGCACGGAAGCACATCCTGGTGTGGGCCCTGAGGCAGAGCCCCCCTGCAGACTGGCATCTCCCTCTGCCGCAGGAGGATGAGTGACAAGCACCCCTGCCATTAGCCTGTGCAGCTTCCTCCCTCGGTCTGTTTCAAGTTGCTGTTGCACAGCCCTGGGGACTGTGACTAGCCTACACAGTGTAGTGGCTCACTGTGAGCTCTTGCCAGACTTGGAACATGGAGCAGGAAGGACATTGCTAGCCCTACTTGCCCACCCCTTACCTGCATGCGGGGCGCCCTGACACAGCGATGTTCTGCTGGACAATTGTACTCCAGAGCTTTCAGGAGGCCAAGCATTATGGCAGGTACTTGTGAGCAGCCAGGTCAGGCTGGGCACAGCAGCATAGGAGATGGCAGTCCTGAGGTCTAGAGTTCTCAGGTAAACTCCTGAAGGGTAGCCCTGCACAGGTGGGCAATAATGAGCTAGCTAAACAGTTGTGCCACTGTGAATGCCTTTGCTAGTCGCTGGGAAACTGCCTGTCACGTCCTGATTTGGTGAGCATTGTGAGTGCTCACCCTGTACTCCGGACCCTCGATTAGTTCTACTGCAGGTGCAGGCAGGTGTGCAGAGCAGACAGGGCTCACTGGCCCTTCTGCACCAGCAGGCTTCTCTTCTTCAGCTCCCAGGTTGGCCCCTGGAGACTCTGGTTTTTAAGGAATGGCACATAGCTACAGAACACACAATCTTGCCTGAAGAGGGCTTGTGGACTCAGCTTAAGACATCCAAGCCCAAGACGTGGAATTAAGGACTCCTTCCCTCAGAGTTTCCCCGGTGGTTAATGTATAAAAAGCCATTTCATCTGATTTCAAATAGAAGCTGAAAATTATATTCACATTTGTTAGATTTCAAAAAAAAATACATTTACAAATGCACATATTTTCAAACCTGATTTAGATTGTATTTACTTGATGTGATGTTCCAACAATGCTAATAGCCATGAGATGATTCTTCTAGGGATCCCTGGGTTGCTGAAGGCTAATAGTTATTCTCTGAACCATTAGGAGCAGAGAGGAGCATGAAAACTGGGAAAGGTACACACTGAACCAGTTAAGGAAGTAAGAGTAGGAAATAAAATATGCATTTTGTATTATCTTATTTCCTCAGGCTTGCGCCACCCTGTGGTTATTTGTAGAAAGTCAGAGACCAGTAATCCTCAGAAAAGATGCCTGTGTTCTCCAGGTCTCGATGCTCTTTCAGAAATTGAGATGATGCTCCAGGGCCCAAATTAAGGAAGGGGTGTAAGACCCAGATCTTTGGGTTTTTTTGTTTGTTTTTGAGATGGAGTTTTGCTCTTGTTGCCCAGTCTGGACTGCAATGGGGCGATTGCTCACTGCAACCTCTGCCTCCTGGGTTCAAGCGATTCTCCTGCCTCAGCCTTCCTGAGTAGCTGGGATTACAGGCATGCACCACCTCACCCAGCTAATTTTTTATTTTTAGTAGAGATGGGGTTTCTCTGTGTTGGTCAGGCTGGTCTCTAACTCCTGACCTCAGGTGATCTGCCCACCTCAGCCTCCCAAAGTGCTGGGATTACAGTTGTGAGCCCCCGCACCCGGCTAGACCCAGATCTTTATTTAAGCCACCACTCAGAATCCATATTTGAAAAGCAACCATTTATTAGAACCAATACAAGAGTATGAAAAGAGGGAAAAGAGGAGGGTAGAAGAGGGGGAGAGAATGAGGTCTGCATCAGATGTCAGTTATAGAAACACATAAATGCCTACTTTTAAACATTTACATTTAAAAGGTGAACATATATATAGACCACTTATACTTTTTTTAAAAAAATCAAAAGCAGACATGTTTAGCTGAAATAAAACCAAGAAACACAACCAAAACTCCCCCATAAACCTAAAAGTCCATAGAGAATTCAATTTCTCATTTTCATTCAGAAATCTGGCTACAAAGTGATGTTTGCTACTCAGGATGATACAGAGTGCTGAAAGAAACCCAGCTCTTGAGTCTCTTAGATTCCATCCTGTAGGAAGTGGTGGGAAAGCCAGTGGGCCATGGGCAAGTCAACTCCTGGCTGCTTGGCAGGGCGTCAGACTGTGCTCTCTCCATTTTCCACAGAACTGTTTAGTACTGCCAGTGCTGGGTGAACAGTGAGAGCAGAGTCCACAAAACACAGAGAACCAGAATGTGACTGCAAGGAGCCAGGACCTTGTGCTTTTTCATGGATTACAAATCTAGGGCCAAGGAGAGGGAAAGGAGAAAGAGCCCTATTGGGAAGAGGAGCTGGCTGCACCCCTAAACTGAGATGGAAAGAGTAAGGCTCTTGAGCCCACACCTGGGCAAGTAGAAATAGTGTCGAAAGTTTTCTCAAACCAGAGGGAAAAAAAGTCAAGGTTAAGTTCAGACTGCAGACACTGAGAAAGAGATGACAGATGCTGAATACAGTGAATTGGATGAAGCTTTAAGGATCAATGCCCAATTCTGAGTGTTATGTATACATATTTCTAGGAAAAATAATTCCAATGTAGCTTTTTTGCGGGTTGGAAACAAGGTGGTCACATTTATTGAATCAGCTGATCCCTATGAGAAAGGAGGGGCCCAGGTACAGATACCACAATGGGGTGCAGTGACCCAGCTATCTTGGGATCAGTTTGGGGAGTGGTAAGCAATGATCTAATCAACACCACTGAGGGCTGCCTTGATCCTGAGACAGTCTGAGTCTGCTTCAAATCCATGGGGAATGGAACTTTAATCCCCAACCTGCAGAGAGAAATAAGCAGTAGCATCCCTGCCTCACGATTCCCTAATCCAATGCTCTTGAATCTGAAATGGCCTCCCTCTGTGAATGCAAGACATAGAAAATCCTAAGTGCCTTCCCCCACAACATCCTAAGTAAGTCTGGACTAGTAAGATTCCAACATTCATGAAAACACTGTCAACATCTGAACTAGCAGCTTTGATGAGGGGTGGGGGGCAGAGAATTTGCCAAGTCACTAAGTAGTTCCAGCCTTGGAGACAGCTCAGTGAGGACTAAAGCGTTGTGTGTCAGGCTTAAACTCCAGCTCAAAGCATCCTCCACAGAGGACCCTGAAGTATTCTATTAACTTTGATTTGCAATGCCTCACAACACCCCTGTGAGGTAGGTCAGTATTATTACCCCCATTTGACAGATGGGGAACTGAGGCATTGAAAGAAGTGACTTGCCCAAGGTCAGCCATTATGAATCAGTTGAGGAGGTGGGCACACTGAGTCAGCATCCACTTGATTCTTGTTCCATTTCCCAGAGCATTTTACTTCTCAGAGTGCACTTGGGAGCAGAGGGAGGTTGGCAGGTACACCTCACTCTGCAAACTAGATTAATCCAATCAACCCAAGAGTATTAACTGAGGACCTACTATTTATCTAGTATATAGTGTGAGGAATCTTGGAAAAATGAACTGCTTCTGAAAGTCATGTTACAGATGTTTTGAAAATAAAATTATATCTTAAACATAAGGACATGAATTCTTTTGTAAAGAAATATTCACTTTATCTTAAGGTAAAATAGGCTGCCTGAAAAAAAAAAAAAAAAAAAAAAAAAAAAACGAAAGGAGGTAAAATAAAGTCACACTGATTTCTCAAAGTACCTGAATTCCTAAAATCCAGAAAGCAAGATCACATTCCAACAGAAACAATGAGTAAGAACCATTTCCCCAGTGGTGATTCTTGGTACTGCTCTTTCAGAGCTGCAAGGTTGGTAGTGTGGGACTCCCAGCACCACAAAACACCCTCCTACCACAGCACTTCCCTCAATACCCAGAGAGCGGCATCTTCCCAACCTTTCTGCCTCAGCTCAACTTCAAGAGTTGCAGCATCTTCAAAAACACCTCAAGGGTAAGGATACAAATGGTGACCCCTGCTTTTCTATTCAGGGGGAGGGGATGAAATATTCTCCGTAACTAATCATATAGACTCTTGTATTCTTTCCTCCTGCCAGAAACGTAACTCTTTAACAACAAAAACAAAAAGATAAAAGAAGAAACAGTTGGTGTCTTTTGTCTTCCTTTGGATTCTGGTATAAATCATTATCTCTTATCTTAAAACTGAGGAAGTGAGGGATGAGGGGGGCACAAAACAGACACCAAACCCACCACCAGCCCTGGTTTAGAATGCAATCCTAAAGCCTACTGGAGGCTGGGTGTGTTGGCTCAGACCTGTAATCCTAGCACTTTGGGAGGCTGAGGTGGGTGGATCACCTGAGGTCAGGAGTTCAAGACCAGCCTGGCCGTCATGGTGAAACCCCATCTTTAAAAAAAAAAAAAAAAAAAGCGACTGGAAACCAGAAAACACTGACTTGAGCTTTAAGAGTGTTGTAACATGATTAAACTGCTTTTTCAGGTGTTCTCAAAGAACTTCTAGGCAGAAGCCTCTCCTTTCTTCCATACCTCTTCACAGCAGCCATTGTAGCAGGTCCCCGCTACAACAGAAACTCAAAAGATGACTTATCAACTCACACAGTAAAAGGTTCACTAGGGGCCGGGTGCGGCTCACGTCTGTAATCCCAGCACTTTAGGAGGCTGAGGTGGTCGATCACTTGAGCCCAGGATCTGGAGACCAGCCTGGGCAACACAGGGAGGACTCTGTCTGTACAAGACCCCTATCTAAAAAAAAAAAAAAGAAAAGGAAAAAAAAAAAAAGGTTCACTAAGGATACTCTAGGTACAGGAATCATTCCAAGACCTAAATATATTTTTTTTTTTCTTACTGATAGCCAACCACATTAAACAGGTACAAGTGCTAAGAAAGTTCAAGACTGATCTTTCGGCAATGACAGTTTAGGTTGTCTGTTTGGAATTCTAAAAGTAAAAAGAAATCACTTAAAAAGTGACAAACTGGCCACTTGGCCTTGAATTGACTGTTAGGGTCACACCTGCCAATGCCAGGGGACATCACAAAAAAAATAGAGAACAGTAAGATAAAAAGTTCATTGCATTCAATTTGGCCTAATTTCTTGATAATAGTTTCCTATTAGATTTTCCGATTAATACTGATGGCTCTTACCTAGGCTGTGATAATTAGGTTTTGATCTATTATGACATTAATGATCACAATCAGTTGACTTTGAAATTGTCTTAATTAATGGCTCTTTCCTCGTCAGCTTTTGCCTCCAGTGCAGGATTCATCCCTTCCCCCACTGCCTTGTTTTAACTCCCTCTCTTACTGACCACAGAGACAAATAGCATTGGAAGATCACTTTCTTCCCATAACACAAGACTTTAAACTATTTTAAAACATTTCTCTGACAGAGGAGCAATATGAGATGATGTTAGATGAAATGAGGATCAGAATGAAAAGGCAAGAGAACAAGCTGTCCATGAACAGGAAAAATTCCATCTTAGAAAACAACCAAAGTCAAGCACAATGATAAAGTGACAGGGTGAAGGAATTCTAAAAAGACAAGATGAGGTAGATTAAAATCCAAGAAATTCAGCACAAGCAAAAATAAACCAGAATTGTTTTTATGAAACGATCTAAAAAACCTCATGCTTTAGCTTTCCAGAACAGTTACTCTAATTCCTGGGAAATCTGACTTCCAAAGTTAGTCAACTTTCAATTATCCAGGCAGAACTCAGTATCTTTTTCTTGTGGTCACATGGGTCAGAATCGAGAACATACTTACGATCAGACCATTTCTTAACCTAGGTAGGCTTTAATAATTAAATCTGAGATTCAGATTTAATACACAAGGTACATGTATTTCTGGGAAAGGTTTCCACATAAGTAACACAATTCTCTGCTTAGAAATCACCCTCTCTTGCAGTATTGAGTAAAACTGCACTGCTCAGAGTAGATGCTCAGGTATTCACAGATGTGCTCCAAGCCTTCTTTTCTAGCAAATCTCTTGTCATTGGAAAGCATGTCCCTGGTTTTAGGCTTAAAGACAGCCTCATGTTCATTCCTCCAAAATGAGAAATTGAAAAAGGTGTAAGCAACTCTGATAAAATGTCCATGAGGAATATGTTGTTATAGTACCCACAATAATGTAACACAACTGAATCTGCAATATAGCTAATGCTTTCCACAAGCTAAGATTAACTCTACCACTACTTTGGCCAAGAGTCTAAACCAGGGATGAAAATCAGGAGTTCTCAATCCCAACTCACCTGTTTTTTCTCTATCAGTAATAACAGTATTTCCAACCCTCAGCTATATTTATTTCCTGGAGTAAAACAAGCCCTTGTGTTGTATGGCCAGCTGGCTCACTTCACCCAAGGTTATAGGTCTTTTCCACATAAAAACCAAAATTAATGTCAACTTCTTACTCTAGGGCTACAAACTATACATCAGCCAGTCTGTCTCTGCCCCGAGTCAGAAATGTGTATTGATTTGTAGCATTTATAAAGCCAAGCTATTTTTTTAAACAGAAACATAGCTTGTAAGCACTTAACTATTAATGGTCAGTTCATCACACACCAGTACCAAAGTTGAGGACAGGGATGGCCTCTTTTTGAACTCTGTATCCTCAGGCCAAAAAATGTCTGTTAAATAAAACCAACGTTGATGTACAGCAATGTGGCTGAAATTTAGAAAGCTTAATAAAAATTGAGCGAGAGGGGCATCTAATTCAGAGCATGTTTTTGGGTGTAAGGCTAGTAACACCTATTTTTAAAAACATAATTTTTATTAGTAGGTAAAGGTAGCATGACACTGTGATACACTGGCTCCAGACCTTTCCTCTCTCTGCCCTGCCACAGGCATGCTTGGTGGTCTGATTATAAAAGTACAGATCTCAACCAAAAGGATGTGATCATTAGGTGCAAAGTGAGTTTTTCTTTTATGAGGAAATGAGGAAACTGTGAGAAACTATTTCCTCATTTTAAATCTAATGGGGTTCTCATGACATTGCAGAGTAGCATTTTATGCCCTCAAAATGAACCTTTAAGGTAGAGACAATTGCTCCCCAGGCCTAACACAGATCCCTCTAACTCTTCACTATACCTTAGGAAAGCTGGGGTAAACTACAGATTCAATAAAATCTCAATATGAAAATCCCAAAAACCTTCCCCAATGCCCTGTGATTTGGCCTGAACATAGGGAAAATGGACTGCAGCGTGGCTACATAACAAGAACAAAGAGTTAAGAATAATAACTGCCTAAGTTACCAAACAAATTAACGACACAAAGTAGAATGCACAAAGCAGTACACAGTGTGGCTGGGGGACAGTCAAGGACCATCGAGACTTTTAAGTGTTAGGAGCACCACAGGTCCAAATGCTCCCCAGAGCAGACTAAAACCGGATTGTTGTCCATGGCAACACTGTTCTCCACTATTCTGCCTACAATGAGAATATATCAACAGCAGGAAAACTGCTTTCACACATGGCAAACCTCAAAGAAAAACAAGGATAACCTCAGACCACTGTTACTTGCTGTAAGTGGGGAAAACAAAACAGCAAACGGATTTTTAGTAAAGAGAAAAGCAAATATAAATGCAGTTGATAAACTAGAAAGCAATCATCAACTAACTGCAGAACATAAAGAAGAAAAGATACCCCAAAATCCTTCTCCAAATAGCAACTCAGTGGATGGGAGTTAATCAAGCTTTCCAGCAACCAGTTATTGATGATTCATGGCCTACATCAAATGAAGACTTCGATTTTGATTATCAACGATGTCCCCAAACCAAGCTTACCAGAGCTAACGACTGCTTCTCAGCAATTCAGGAAAAATTTAGAAGCAAATATGGCATTGTGAGAACAAAAAACAGAACCTTGTTTTGAGGACAGGAATTCTGATAGTGTGAAGATGTGGTTGAAAGCCTTCTCAAACATACAAGTTCAAGGCTTTTCTCATCCTGCCTTTCCATCACCTGACCCTCCTCTGAAACCATCCCTCATGTCTTTAGCAATGTCTGGTCTTACAAAGGAGGGAACAGCAAAGCTGGCAAGTGGAATAAAAAAAAAATCTTATTACTGAAAGTGCTCCATGACAGCAAACAAATCATGACAATTTTATTTTTGTGCCCAAAAATTAAGAGGTGGCCAGGTGCAGTGGGTCACACCTGTCATCCCATCACTTTGGGAGGCCAAGGCGGGTGGATCACGAGGTCAGGAGATCGAGACCATCCTGGCCAACATGGTGAAACCCCATCTCTACCAAAAATACAAAAATTAGCTGGGTGTGGTAGTGTGCACCTGTAGTCCCAGCTACTTGGTAGACTAAGGCAGGAAAATCACTTCAACCTGGGAGGCAGAGGGTGCAGTGACCTGAGATTGCGCCACTGTACTCCAGGCCTGGTGACAGAGTGAGACTCTGTCTCACCAAAAAATCAATAGAGATGATGTCTGCATTAAGATCAAGACGAGAGGAAGACAGAGAATCACCTTGGGATTCTGAAAGTACCTCCAAGAATCAACAACAGAAAGATGTCAGCCATTTAACTGGGGCTACAGCTCAAAAAGGAAAATATACAGTAAATGGACAAGTCCAAGAGTCTCCTGAGAAATATCCTTATTTGAAGAGGCAGCAGGAGTTGATAGAAAACATAACTAAAAAAGTAGAAGATAACACTGTTACATTTGAATCTGGATCCTATATAGCTTCTCCTGTAGGATCTACTGAGGAGTGAAATATAAATCAAGATTTAGCTTAGAAAGCATGAAGATAAGGCTGGGCGCTGTGGCTCACACCTATAATCCCAGAACTTTGGGAGGCCAAGGTGGGCAGATCACAAGGTCAGGAATTTGAGACCAGTCTGATCAACATGGTGAAACCCCCTTTCTACTAAAAATAGAAAAAGTAGTCAGGTGTGGTGGCATGCACCTGTAATCCCAGCTATTCAGGAGGCTGAGGCAGGAGAATTGCTTGAACCCCTGGGAGGGAGAGATCGCACCACTGCACTCCAGCCTGGGCAAGAGTGAGACTCTGTATCAAAGAAAAAAAAAAAAGGCATGAAGATAGTATTTTCCAATTTTAAATAAAAATTATATTGTCTGAAAGACAATAAAATTTTAGTACTGGGGAGGAAACTGAATTGTTATCTAAAAAAGAAAACATTATGGTTCTCTCCAGGTTTAAAATGGGTGCTCCCATCTAGGCTGATTTTCCCAGCATTTGATCTTAACTTGAAAGCCATCTGCCCAGCCCAGGGATCAAAGAGCTGCTAAGCAGTTCGTTGGTAGACTCGACTGGGCAAAGCTATGCTATAAACTCTGAAGGGAGATCTTTTAATGTTGATTACTGAAAGGATTAGAAAGATGTCTTGAAAGAGGACTAAACACAGGAAAAATATACTTTTAGCATGTGAGACCTAGGTGTTTAAGTGCTTAGCTCTTAACTCTTCTGTGGGGAGAAAGTTCCAAAAAACAGGTTTCTGTTTGAGGCTGAAATTCTCCTAGGGCAAGAATATCTACTAAACACTAACAAATGCTGGAAGCAGGCATCTGACTTCCTTTGTGCTAAGGACTGAAATCACTATCAGCCTCTGGCTCCCTACATTCCTATAGAACCAGCTGCAGGTAGACAGGAAGAGATTGTTTTGGCTGCACTCAGTACATAAACCAAAAACAAAAACGGTGAAGTCTATTAAAGAGATAAGTAGTAGATGACACTGGGGACATGTTGGTAAAAGTATCGGATTTGTATGAATGTCTTAAATATCACCTATAACCGCAGCAGCCTTGTGCCCCACGTTTCTCAGAACCAATCTCAGCACCAAATATTGTCATGTTCTTTGTCCACATACTAGATTTTTGGTTTTAAAAACATAGTTGCTGCAGTTTACATGCGCACTGCTCCTGCAAGGCATACAGTGGGCCACTTGGATAGGCTGTCATTTTCTGCAAATCTAGAGACCCAAATCACCTCCTCAGAAGCTCTGGCCTATTTTTGTCCTATTCCTGTCTACCCTAATTGATATCCTTGGCTGCATTTATGATAAATCTGTTTCCTGACCATCCTTTCCTTCTTTCAGATGCTGATGAAATTAAGTACAATTGTCAATTATCCAGCACTTGACCTAGGTCTTTAATTCCTTCAGAGAGTGAAGGAATATAGAGATAAAACTCCCACCCACTTGAGGTATGGTTTATGAGCTCTTGCCCAATCACATTACCATTCAGAAGGATTTTCCTGGCTGACTTAAACCAAAAGCTTCATTGTTCCAGTCTGTCATGTCACTGCAGCAACAGCTGGCATCTCAATTGTGCAGTATAATTTTTGACATAATTTATATAAGCATACAGAATTTAATCAGCAGCTGAGCAGGGAAGCAATGTTAACAAATGCCATAAATGGGCATATGATTTGCATATTATTTGGTTCATCTGTGGACTGAAGCTATCCATCCATTCCCCTCATTACTCTGAATAATCCAGAAATGGTGGATGCTCCTGGCCAGACAGCTGTATGTTTTAAAAATCAAAAGCAACAAGAAAAGCAGCCTCATGGCTGGTGAACTCTAGAATTAAGGCTATTTTGAGCATTTATTCTTATTTCCTCAGCTTTGGGGCTGGGACAAGGATCCTCAAAACCCTGCTATTTCCCTACTTTTACTTGTGATTCTCTAGCTGTCCTCAACTATAACAAGAAAAGGATAAAGTAGGACATTTCTTGGGGGACAAAGGCAAAAGAATATAATCAGAAAAATTTCTCAATGTAATAGCAACACAGGAAGAAACCAAAGGGAAATATTTCGCTGAGTAAGGAGAGAAGGTTGAGTCAACATGCTAACGCCAGGGCCTGTCACTTTCCAAGGTGATAGTCTTTCATGAACATGTCATTATTTTTATTTATTTATATTTTTTAGAGACAGGGTCTCACTACATTGCCCAGGCTGGTCTCAAACTCCTGCTTCAAGCAATTCTCCTGCCTCAGCCTCCCAAAGTGCTGGGATTACAGGTGGGAGCCACTGTGCCTGGCCATGAAAATGCATTTAAAAAAATAAGATACAACTGTATGTTTGAGAAGAAGGGAAGAGCATTAACATTTTGGGGACTCTTGGTGGTAAATCCAGCAGCCAAGAAAGTAGGAGACTTATAACTGCTATGAATATTTAAAACTGATTTGTAGCCAACAGCTCACCTCCAAAACTTCCCCACTGAAAATAATGGCATAGAAGGGAAACTCAGGTCCACTGAGAAGTGAGGGTCAGGTTTGAAGCCTCTTTGGTAACGGGAATGCTTTGGGAGGCCACAAAAGTTGGCAGGGTTGGAGGGTGCCTAGCACCTTGGCACAAGCAAGCACCAGGCAATCACTCACACCTACATAAATATACAGTCTAAATATGAGGAATGGAAAGAAATAATACATACATACCATATGTGATAATGAAGACAATTGTACCCTACCCCATCATCCTCATGTACTATAGCTAAAAATCTCCACGGTTAATAATCTTGTCATTTTTTCACAAATTGACATCACTTTACAGAAGCAGAAGCAGGAAGTGCTAAAAGCAAGACCAAAAGTCCTGGGGCTAAAAAGAGTGCCTTAACAAATTTCAGTGTAAAATTTCAAATCTTCCAAAGGATGGAGTAATTCTGGGAGGATGAGTGAGGATGAACAGGGTGGCCCAGAAGACCACATCAGAAACCCTGTATTCTCCTGGGTAGAGCTGAACAAGGTTGGGAAAGCCCCAACAGGTAGGCAGTTGCTATTGGCTTTTTAAAAGATGGGCAACATCCTTTCCATCTCAACATGTCAAAACAAAGGCCAGCTAGTCAGCAACATGTTCTAAGAACCAAAGCAAGAAAGAAACCAAAATTCAACATTATTGTAACAAAATCCCCCAATCTAAAAAGCGACCAACCCTGAAAAGATCAAGACTCTAAGGTGAAAAAGTTCAAACTCATCTTGAGGTCATAGGGGAGCAGAAGGAAGAGATCAGGGCAAAGGAAAAAAAGACTGTGGGTATTACACACAGTATGTAAATGCCTGGTCTTCACAGAGAGACACTTATCATTAATCAGACCATCAGTTATGTTACAAGAAAACCAATACCAACATTTCTCCTGTGGAGCACAGTGATAAGCACATTTTTTATGGATGTGTTTAGGATAGAAAGGGGTGGGAAGAAGGGAGAGGAGGCAGGGAGGTGAATGTATTATGTACAAAGAGAAATGACAGAGAAAACCCCCTCCTTTAGCTCTTTGCCGTTTCTTTCTCTTTGTTTTCCGCGTCCTCAGGATATGCATGCCATGTCAGTCTCTCTTCATAAAATGCTATCACAATTTGTGGACATTTCACATTAGCTTCTTTTGCAAGAACCAGGTCAGCTTCATCTGTGTCTTTCCTGGAAAGAAAGAATATGCTACTTAAAAGGAGAGGAAGTAAGAATGAAAGAATCTGTCCAGATATAAGTTTATGTCATTATATGGATTGAGTTGTCTTGATTTCCTCCTCACTTTGATTTCAAGGTGAAAAGGACCCTTTTAATATTTTCAAGAAGAAATTTATGTAAATGGATTAATATATTAATCCTATTATACAGAAACAGATGTCTGCAGGTAGAATTTAGATGTAAAACATGGTAGGCTCAGTTTAAAAAGCTGAATAATAAATGATATTAATCTGCTTCCATAATTTTTATTTGTGAATAGGAGCATGTGAGTGAACCCAATCAAACCTACATTCAGCTGTATTGATTACACCTAAGTCAATTATGCACAGGTTGGTCAATCCAGTTTCCAGATCGTCTAAGTGAAGAGGTCTTAACCCTCCTCACTTTGTGGCCTTTTAAATACTCATTACACCTCTGGTCAGAACCATAGATTGGAACAACAAGCAAATAAAACTTTAGCTACAAATTTCAATTATCTCAGTTACAGCCTCTACTACCAAGTATAACAAAAAAAAATCTAGCCACATGGTCCCTTAGGCATGATTACAAATCAAGAAAAAAATTAAATTAAATTATCCTGAGAAGGCCACGTACAGTAGCTCATGCCTGTAATCCCAGCACTTTGGGAGGCTGAGGCAAGTGGATTGCATGAGCCCAGGAGTTCAAGACAAGCCTAGGCAACATGGCGAAACCCATCTCCACAAAAAATACAAAAATCAGCTAGGCATGGTAGTGCACGCTTGTGGTCCCAGCTGCTTGGGAGGCTGAAATGGGAGGATCACTTGGGCTTGGGAGGTGGAGTTTGCAGTGAGCTAAGATTGAACCACTGAACTCCAGCCTGGGCAACAGAGCAACACCCAGTCTCAAAATAAATAAATAAATAATAATAAATTAAATTATCCTGATATGAGGACAAGGGAAATTACCACCTTGTTGGAGCAGACACTCAAATTCAAACTATGGTGGAAAAAGCCAATTAATGAAATGTAAATCATAAGTACACGTATGGCTGAGTAAGAAAAAGCAGTCCAGCCTAGACACAGTGCCTCATACCTATAATCCCAGCACTTTGGGAGGCTGAGGTGGGAGAAACACTTGAGCCCAGGGCAACAAAGGAAGACCTAATGTCTTCAAAAATTTTTTCAAAAAATTAGCAGGCCATGGTGTCCAATTTTTTCAAAAAATTAGCAGGACCTGTAGTCCCAGCTACTCAGGAGACTGGAGAAGGAGGATAACTTGAATTCCGGAAGTCAAAGGTGCAGTGAGCTGTGATCACACCACTGTACTCCAGCCCGGGTGCCAGAGTGAGACCCTGTCTAAAATAAAATTTTTAAAAAGCAGTCCAGACCTGTAATCCCAGCACTTTGGGATGCCGAGGCAGGAGGACTGCTTGAGATCAGGAGTTTAAAACCAGCCTGGCCAAGATGGTAAAACCCCATCTCTACTAAAAAATTAGCCAGATGTCGTGGCACATGCCTATAATCCCAGCTACTTGGGTGGCTGAGGGATGAGAACCACTTGAACTTGGGAGGTGAAGGCTGTAGTGAGCCAAGATGGTGCCACTGCACTCCAGCCTAGGTCATAGAGCAAGACTGTCTCAAAAACAAAACAAAACAAGCAGTCCATACAGCTCCTTATTTCTGACAAAATATAACAATTCTTCAAACACAGGCTTCTGGGTAATTTACCAGCAGCACTATCATCAGATAAAATAAGCTTTTGATTATACAGCTTTTTTTTTTAAAAGTACAGTGGCACCATCTCGGCTCACTGCAATCCTCGCCTCCTGGGTTCAAGCAATTCTCCTGTCTCAACCTCCCAAGTAGCAGAACTACAGGCACCCACCACCACACCAGGCTAATTTTTGTATTTTTAGTAGAGACAGGGTTTCACCATATTGCTCAGCCTGGTCTAGAACTCCTGACCTCAGGTGATCTGCCTGCCTCAGCTTCCCAAAGTGCTGAGATTACAGGCGGGAGCCACTGCACCCGGCTGACTACACAACTTTTAAGGTAACATGTTTCTTTAGTGGCAATGCAGCACAAACCCTCTATGTATCATAAACCCAGAATACCTGGAAACAGTGAGGGCCACACCATAAATCACTCTGTTTTTAAGAAATCAAATTGAGGGTCTTTTTCTGTTTTGAGATGGAGTTTCGTTCTTGTTACCCAGGCTGGAGTGCAATGGCGCGATCTCGGCTCACTGCAACCTCCGCCTCCTGGGTTCAAGCAATTCTCCTGCCTCAGCCTCCCGAGTAGCTGGGACTACAGGCGCATACCACCATGCCCAGCTAATTTTTGTATTTTTAGTAGAGACGGGGTTTCACCTTGTTGACCAGGATGGTCTTGATCTGTTGACCTCGTGATCCACCCGCCTTGGCCTCCCAAAGTGCTGGGATTATAGGAGTGAGCCACGTGCCCTGCCAAATTGAGCGTTTTTAAGTAATCAAATTGAGGGCTGGGTGCAGTGGCTCACGCCTATAATCCTAGCACTTTGGGAGGCCAAGGCGGGCAGACTGCTTGAGGTCAGGAGTTCAAGAGCAGCCTGACCAACATGGCAAAACCCCATCTCTACTAAAAATATAAAAATTAGCCGGGCATGGTGGCAGGCACCTGTAATCCCAGCTACCTGGGAGGCTGAGGCAAGACAATCACTTGAACCTGGAAGGAGGAAGTTGCAGTGAACCAAGATCATGCCACTGCACTCCAGGCAATAGAATGAGATTCCGTCTCAAAAAAAAAAAAAATAAATCAAATTGAGAGGAACTACTTACCCTTTCATCTAAGAGCCATTCGGTCTATACTGGATGAAATAACTTGTGCTTTGGCCAAGTTATTTGGCCAAGTATTAGCCTTAATGCTTTTTGTTGAGATTATTTTTCTCTTTTAGACATTATTCAGCAGGTCTGGCCCTCAGTGATGGCACAAAGTCTCCTTTGATTCCTAGTTCAGGGTCACAGGCCCATGGTCTTACAGTAAATAATTCAGAACTGTGTAAACAAATGGTTATGTCATGCTTATGTTTTCTTTTTTTTGAGATGGAGTCTCACTCTGTGCCCATGTGGGAGTGTAATGGCTCGATCTCAGCTCACTGCAACCTCTGCCTACCAGGTTCAAGCAATTCTTCCTCAGCCTCCTAAGTAGCTGGGACTACAGGCATGAGCCACCACGCCCAGCTAATTTTTGTATTTTTATTAGAAATGGGGGTTCACCATATTGGCCAGGCTCCTAACCTCAAGTGATCTGCCTGCCTTGGCCCCCAAAGTGTTGGGATTACAGGCATAAGCCACTTTGCCTGGCCTTTATATATTTCCTACCTCAAATTTACCTTTTTCCTGATATGTAGGCTACTATAATTTGGCTTAATAACAAAGCTTGAGAATGTCTTAAATCCATTCTGAACCATAATTCCCATTTAATACCAATAATTGGTATCAGTTAAGGATCTCTGACATTCAAAATTCATGGTCTGGGAATACGCAGTCTTGCTACTTTATTTTCCACATGAATTCAAGTGACTGGCAAAGAAACACAATTGTAAAGTGAAGCCAAATCTTTCTCACCATTTCATTAGGAACATTAAATCACCACAGGAATCTGTCGCCCCAATGATCTTTTCTGGTTCCAGTCCTCTCTCAAAGCCCCGAGCTATATCATTGCTCTGCTATAAACAGAAGATGAAGAAAGGTTATAGCTTGTGGAAAGAGTAGAGAAACTCCCTATTTCTAGGCTCAACAAAACACAATATAAGTTAATATCACCTGATACCATTTCTGTCACCAATTTGGAAAAATTTTTAGAACTTAATAACAGTACTAAGTACTGACAGTGACAATGAAGTGACAGTGATGCCAAGAGATATTTTTGGAAGATGTTATCTTTCCTGGATTTCCTTCAGAAGACTGGAGGTGAACCCTAAAAGTCTCCAGTATTCCGTAAGATACTCTGAAGTCAACATCTAGGAATTCCTCTAATCCCACTCACTCAAAATATCCTTAATATTGTTAAATAAGCTCCTGAAATGATAAAGACCATGTTTACCCTAACTAAACCTTTTCATTTTACAAACTTTAAATATTTTACCTCTCTCAATCTTTATTTTTTTAGACTTTTAGTTTGCCTTAACACTAACCAATAATTTTAATACATTTCACAGTCACCTATATTTATGAAAGAACAGAGATAAGAATCATGCAAAGCCAATACTATTAAATGGCAAATTTCAGAGATCACAAACACCAATACCTACGTGCTTGGTTACAGAGAAGGCCCTGGTCAGTGCCTATCCCCTCTGGATGTTGATGACTGTTAGAACTGGGCAGAACTGGACTGTAATTGAAAACAAACACAAACAAAAACAAAAACAAAAACCTGCCCTGGTGCAGTGCCTCAGGCCTGTAATCCCAGAACTTTGGGAGGCTGAGGTAGGAGGATTGCTTGAGACTAGGAGTTGGAGACCAGCATGGACAACTATCTCTACAAAAAAAATTGTAAAAATTAGCTGGGCCCAGTGGTGTACACCTGAAGTGTGCTACCTCTACTCAAGAGGCTGAAGTGGGAGGATCCCCTGGGTCCAGGAGTTCAAGGCTGCAGTGAGCTACATCATGTCACTATGCTTCATGGTGGGCAACATAGTGAGAACCTGTCTCTTAAAGTAAGAAAGAAAAAAATCTTTTTTTTTTTTTTTTTTTTTTGAGACAGAGTCTCACTCTGTTGCCAAGGCTGGAGTACAATGGCACAATCTCAGCTCAGCTCACAGCAAACTCTGTCTCCTGGGTTCAAGTGGTTCTCCTCCATCAGCCTCCCAAGTAGCTGGGATTACAAGCATGCACCACCGCACCCAGCTAATTTTTGTAATTTTAGCAGAGACAGGGTTTTACCATGTGGGGCAGGATGGTCCTGATCTCTTGACCTCGTGATCCGCCTGCCTTGGCCTCCCAAAGTGCTGGGATTATAAGCATGAGCCACGGCACCCAGCCAGAAAAAAAATCTGGTAATTCCTGAGATGAGTACTGAAACTTGGTCTAAATTCAGTAATACAATCTAGACAAGGAGCACAGGTTCTAATCCAGGTGTAGGAACACCGATGAGAGCTAAAAAGCAAAATTTTATTCGAGCCAGGTAATTTTTTTTTTTTGAGACAAGAGTCTCCCTCTGTTGCCCAGACTGGAGTGCAACGGCATAATCTGAGCTCACTGCAACCTCCGCCTCCTAGATTCAAGTGATTCTTCTTTCTCAGCCTCCCAAGTAGCTGGAATTACAGGCGTGCGCTACTGGGCCTGGCTAGTTATTGCATCTTTAATAGAGACGGGGGGCTAACCATGTTGGCCAGGCTGGTCTCAAACTCCTCAGGTGGTCTGCCTGCCTTGGCCTCCTAAAGTGCTGAAATTACAGGTGTGAGCCACTGCACCTGGCCATGCCTGGATAATTTTTGTATTTTTAGTAGAGACAGGGTTTCACCATGTTGACTAGGCTAGTCTCAAACTCCTGGCCTCAAATGATCCACCCACCTTTGCCTCCCACAGAGCTGGGATTATAGGTGTGAGCCTCCGTACCCAGCCCAAGCTAGGTAATTTTTAAAAACTTTATTATGGAAGATAATGTTAGCCTCTCCAGTGGCAACACAAAAAAAGATTCAGAGATGCCCAAATGAGCTAAATCTCTACTGATGATTCTTATAGTAAAATCTTTTTGATCTGATTATGTTCACCTTGCTTTCCTCAGACACAGAAAGCATTTGGGGTCTTGGTGGTCCCCAAAGATACCAAAATCCTCAATAGGAAGGAAATTCCATGCATGAATCATTGAAAGATACTGACTTTTAAAAACATAGCCTCTTTGGGGGGTGCTTAAGGGGAAGAAGTTCCCAGATGTGCACACAGCTGCTCACAGCTGGAATGCTGGCACATGGACTAAGTTGTAAATCATAGCTGACAGCTGAAAACAGTTTGCTATATAGAGGGGGGAAGGGGTGGGCAAATGGAAGAAAAATGTTCAAGCTGCTGAAAAGGAGCCGAAGCGAAGAAAACGCTAAAATCATCATACAGGCAGTAATCTTAAATCAGGCATAATGCAGACTAACAAATTTCTTCTGCAGTGGTCTTAAGAAAAAAATGCAATCCCCTCCTCTGTACCTTTAAAACATATAATCACCTATTTTCCCAACTGTCTACCTGACAGCAACCAGTACTGCTAGAATGCTATCAGGGGCCCCAGATGAACATTATGATCTAAGGGACACGTAGGGGTTGTTTTCAAGGTCGGCAGCTTCAGAACCTGGCCTAGGAACAAAACTCTCTGCACTGACCAGTGTCTCTAAGCCAGATAATTCAGGCTGCTCATTTTTAAAAAGGACAGAGGTTGGTCACGATGGCTCACGACTGTAATTCCAGCACTTTGGGAGGCCAAGGCAGGCAGATCACAAGGTCAGGAGATCAAGACCATCCTGACTAACATGGGGAAATCCCATCTCTACTAAAAATATAAAAAATTAGCCGGGCATGGTGGCACACACCTGTAGTCCCCACTACTTGGGAGGCTGAGGCAGGAGAATCACTTGAACCCAGGAGGTGGAGGCTGCAGTGAGCAGAGATCACACCACTGCACTCCAGCCTGAGCGACAGAGTGAGACTCTGTCAAAATAAATAAATAAATAAATAAATTTAATTTAATTGTAATTTTACTGGTCTGGGGTGCATCTTAGGCACTGGATAATTTTTTTTTTTTAAAGCACTGTCCAGGTGAGTATAATGTGTAGCCAGGATTGAGAACTAATGCTCTAGAAAGTTAGATATCTAAGTAGAATGAAGATAATAGGGATGCTTGTGACAGAGATGCTGGAAGATTCAGAAGTAGACTTATGCTTTTATTAATCGTAAAGTGTATGATACAGCCTTCACCACAAAATGCTTGATAACCTTGAAATAAATGAAAGGAATAGAAGCTGGGCGGGGGGCAGGAGGAGGTGGTAGAGTGTGTATATTTATGCACCCACACACAGTTGAAAAAAGACAAACAATAACAGTGCTCATAATGCTAGTTGCTTGAGAGCTAAAGAGCAGAAGGATTAAAGCAATTAAATCAAACCAAAATGTTGTAAATATACTTCCCAAACTGAAGAAGATTCAAAAGACAAAAATTAATTTTATATTCCAAGTATGTAGAAATAATAGATCAAGAGAATATAAATGCTATTGAACTGTACACTTTAAAATTATTAATTGAGCCCGGTGTACTGGCTCAAACCTGTAATCCCAGCACTTTGGGAGGCTCAGGTGGAAGGATCACCTGAGGTCGGGAGTTTGAGATCACCCTGACCAACATGGAGCCCATCTCTACTAAAAATACAAAATTAGTTAGGCATGATGGGACATGCCTATAATCCCAGCTACTCAGGAAGGCTGAGGCAGGAGAACTGCTTAAAGCCGGGAGGCGGAGGCTGTGGTGAGCTGAGATCGCGCCATTGCACCCCAGCCTGGGCAACGAGAATGAAATTCCATCTCAAATAAATAAATAATAAAAATACAAATACAAAAATCAGCTGGGTGTGGTGGCACAAGCCTGTAATCTCAACTACTCAGAAGGCTCAGACAAGAGAATCATTTCAACCCAGGAGGCAGAGGTTACAGTAAGTCCTGATTGTGCCACTGCACTCCAGCCTGAATGACAGACTCCATCTCAAAACATAAATAAAGAAAAATAAATAGAATCAGCCAGGCGTGGTGGCTCATGCCTGTAATCCCAGCACTTTGGGAGGCAGGAGATCAAGACCATCCTGGCTGACATGATAAAACCCTGTCTCTACCAAAAAATACAAACAAAGGGCAGGCACGGTGGCTCAAGCCTGTAATCCCAGCACTTTGGGAAGCCGAGGCGGGCGGATCAGACCATCCTGGCCAACATGGTGAAACCTCGTCTCTACTAAAAATATAAAAAAAAATTAGCTGGCCATGGTGGCGTGCGCCTGTAGTCCGTCCCAGCTACCTGGGAGGCTGAGGCAGAATTGCTTGAACCCGGGAGGTGGAGGTTGCAGTGAGTCGAGATCACACCACTGCACTCTAGCATGGGTGACAGACTGAGACTCTGTCTCAAAATAAATAAATAAAATCGTTAATAGTACATTATGATTTTCACTGCAAAAAAAGATTATCAAGGATTACAAACAAGGACTATTATTGGAACAAGAAAAAAGAAAGTAGCAAACATTTCAAAGCCCCTTTCTATTCTTAAAAAATTCACCGATGATACTTATTCTCTAAAATGACTAAGTCTTCTATTTATGGAGAAGGCAGAAGAGTGATTTAATGTTTTACAAATACTTAATTTTGCCACCTTAATACAATTCAGTGGCCACAAATTACATTTCTCACTCAGCCAGGAGAGGGAGCTATAATCAACATACCTCCCTGCAAGCTCTTTTGTTCAACAATTTACCTTATAGGTCCATCCTTGTAACAGAAATAACCAAAATACGATACTTTTATTTATTATTATGATTTTGGTGACAAAAGGATAGTTTGTGGGGGAAAAAGGAAAGGAAGCTTACCTCTCTCTTTTTTTTAGATTTGATATCATCAGCACTGTTAGAGAAATTGGATTTCCTTTTATTACTTTCTGACTTTTCCCTGGGTTTGTTATTTTCACCCTCCTTCATCTTCTTATACTTTTTCATAAACTCAGAAATTAGCTCAGGGCAATCCAAGTTTTTCTCAGGTTCCCAGGTATTGTGCTCCCTGGGCAAGAAAAATGGGAAAATAAAAAAAGGGGTAAAGAATAAGGAAAAAATCCAATGCCTTATTTCAAAGAGGACATTCAGACAAAAAGGACAGAGAAACCTTATGCATTAAAGAAGATAACAAATTTGATCCTAGATTTCTAGAAAAATTAAAAAGAAAATGCTCACACAAAGACTTATACGCAATTGTTTACAGCCGCTTTTTAATAGCCAAAAACAGAAAACAAATTCAAATATTCATCAACAAATGGTGACACGGAAAAACAAAATGTGGTATATCCATACAAAGGAATATTATTCAACAAAAAAACAAAATACTTAAAACATGCTACAACTTGGAAGAACCCCAAAAACATTATACTAAGTGAAAGAAACAAGACACAGACACTATATATTGTCTAATTCCATTTATATGAAATGTCTGGGAAAGAAATTTAGAGAGAGAGAAAGCAGATTAGCCAAGCGTGGTGGCTCATGCCTACAATCCCAACACTCTGAGAGGCAAAGGGAGGCAGATCACTTGAGGTCAGGAGTTCGAGACCAGCCTGGCTAACACAGAGAAACCTCATCTGTACTAAAAATACAAAAATTAGCTGGGTATGGTAGTGCACAGCTATAGTCCCAGCTACTCAGGATCCTGAGGCAGGAGAATCACTTGAGCCTGGGAAGGGGAGGTTGCAGTGAACAGAGATTGCACCACTGCACTCCAGCCTGGGTGAAAAAGCCAGGCTCTGTCTCAAAAAAAAAAAAAAAAAAAAAATGCAGATCAGTGATTGCCTGGGGCTGAGGGTGGGTGTTGTAATAAATCAAGAAAATTTTGGGGGACATGAGAATGTTCTAAAACTGGATCACAGTGATGGCTGCACAGCTCTATATATTTACTAAAAATTATTTAACTGGGGCCAGGCACAGTGCCTAATGCCTGTAATCCCAGCACTTTGGGAGGCACTTGGGAGTTTGAGACCAGCCTGGCCAATAAGGGAAAACCTTCCACTAAAAATACAAAAACTAGCTGGGCTTGGTGGCACACGCCTGCAGTCTGAGCTACTTGGGAGACTAGGAGACTAGGGCATGAAAACTGCTTGAATCTGGGAGGCTGAGGTTGGTTGTAGTGAGCCAGGATTGCGCCACTGCATTCCAGTCTGGGCAACAGAGTGAGACTCCATCTCAAAAAAAAAAAAAAAATCATTTAACTGGGCTGGGCACAGTGGCTCACGCCTGTAATCTCAGCACTTTGGGAGGCCAAGGTGAACAGATCATTTGAGTTTACAAGTTCAAGACCAGCTTAAGCAACATAGCAAGACTCTGTCTCCACAAAAAATTTTAAATGGCCGGGCGCAGTGGCTCACGCCTGTAATCCCAGCACTTTGGGAGGCCGAGGCAGGTGGATCACGAGGTCAAGAGATCGACACCATCCTGGTCAACGTGGTGAAACCCCGTCTCTACTAAAAATACAAAAAAATTAGCTGGACATGGTGGCGCGTGCCTATAATCCCAGCTACTCGGGAGGCTGAGGCAGGAGAATTGCCTGAACCCAGGAGGCAGAGGTTGCGGTGAACTGAGATCGCGCCATTGCACTCCAGCCTGGGTAACAAGAGCGAAACTCTGTCTCAAAAAAAAAAAAAAAAAAATTTTAAATTACTCAGGTGTGGTGGCTTGTACCTGTAGTCCCAGCTACTTGGGAGGCTAAAATGAGAAGATCTCTTGAGCCCAGGAGGTTGAGGCTGCAGTGAACCATGATTGTACCACAGCACTCCTGGTAACAGAGTGAGACACTGCCTCAAAAAAAAAAAACAAAAACTGAATTGTACAATTTTTTTGTTTTTGAGACGGAGTCTGACTCTGTTGCCAGGCTGGAGTGCAGTGGCGTGCTAATGGGCTCACTGCAACCTCCATCTCCAGGGTTCAAGCGATTCTTTGGCCTCAGCCTCCCAGGTAATTGGGATTATAGGCATGTGCCACCAATTTTTGTATTTTTAGTAGAGATGGGGTTTCACCATATTGGCCAAGCTGGTCTCGAACTCCTGACCTCAAGTGATCTGCCTACCTCAGCCACCCAACGTGCTGGGATTATAGATGTGAGCCAATATACCCAGCTTGAATTGTACAATTTCAGTGGGTGAATTTTATGGTGTCTAAATTAAACCTCAAATAAGCTGTTTAAAAACCCAAATTTTAGCTGGGCACAGTGGCTAATGCCTGTAATCCCAGCACTTTGGGAGGCTGAAGCAGGTGAATCACCTGAGGTCATGAGTTCCAGACCAGCCTGGCCAATGTGATGAACCCTGTCTCTACTAAAAATACCAAAATTATCTAGGTGTGGTGGTGTACACCTGTAATCCCAGCTACCAGAGAGGCCAAGGCAGGAGAATCGCCTGAACTTGGGAGGCAGAGGATGTAGCGAACTAAGATTGCACCACTGCACTCCAGTCTGGGTGACAGAGCAAGACTCAAAGCGGGTCTCAAACAAAACAAATTTGCTGGCTAGGCAAGGTGGCTCATGCCTGTAATCCCAGCACTTTGGGAGACCAAGGTGGGCAGATCACCTGAGGTCAGGAGTTTGAGACCAGCCTGGCCAACATAATGAAACCCCATTTCTCCTAAAAATACAAAAATCAGGCCGGGTGTGGTGGTCATGCCTGTAATCCCAGCACTTTGAGAGGCCAAGGCGGGTGGATCACAAGGTCAAGAGATTGAGACCATCCTGGTCAACATGGTGAAACCCCGTCTCTACTAAAAATATAAAAATTAGCTGGGCATGGTGGTGCATGCCTGTAATCCCAGCTACTCGGGAGGCTGAGGCAGGAGAATTGCCTGAACCCAGGAGGTGGAGGTTGCAGTGAGCCGAGAATGCGCCATTGCACTCCAGCCTGGGTAACAAGAGCGAAACTCCATCTCAAAAAAAAAAAAAAAAAAAATCATCCAGGACTGGTGGTGTGCACCTGTAGTCCCAGCTATTCAGGAGGCTGAGGCAGGAGACTCACTTGAACCCAAGAGGCAGAGGTTGCAGTGAGCTAAGATCAGATCACACCAGCACTCCATCCTGGGTGACAAAGCAAGACTCTGTCTCAAAAAATAAAAAAAGGGCAGGCATGGTGGCTCACGCCTGTAATCCCAGCACTTTGGGAGCCAAGATGGGCAGATCATGAGATCAGGAAATGGAGACCATCCTGGCTAACATGGTGAAACCCCATCTCTACTAAAAATATAAAAAATTAGCAGGGGGTGGTGGCCTGTGCCTATAGTCCCAGCTACTTGGAAGGCTGAGGCAGGAGAATCACTTGAACTCAGGAGGCAGAGGTTGCAGCAAGCAGAGATTGTACCAGCCTGGGCAACAGAGAAAGACTCTGTCTCAAATAAAAAATAATTAAATAATTAAAAATACAAAAAAAATTTTTTTTAAATAACCCAAATGTTGGCCAGCTGAGGTGGCTCACACTTGTAATCCCAGGACTTTGGGAGCCCGAGGCAGGTGGATCACAAGGTCAGGAGTTTGAGACCAGCCTGACCAATATGGTAAAACCCAATCTCTACTAAAAAACAGAAGTTAGCCAGACATTGTGGAGGGCATCTGTAGTCCCAGCTACTCAGGAGGCTGAGGCAGGAGAACTGCTTGAACCCAGGAGGTGGAGGTTGCAGTGAGCCAAGATCTCGCCATTGCACTCCAACCTGGGCAACAGAGCAAGACTCCATCTCATAAAAAAAAAAAAAAATTGAATTTTGGTTTCGGAGTGGCAAAAACAGCATGATTTCGCATATAAAATCATCTGTGCAACTCCTGAAAAGAACAATTTAATAATAAATTATGGACCCCCAGTTTATATTATCTTAAATATGTTACTTTTATTTTTTATTTTTTTTTGGAAACAAGGTCTCACCTTATCACCCAGTCTGGAATGCAGTGGCATGATCATGACTCACTGCAGCCTTGACCTCCCAGGCTCAAGTGATCCTCCTGCCTCAGCCTCCCAAGTAGCTGGGACTACAGGAGTGCACCACCACACCTGGCTACCTTTTTTTTTTTGTAGAGATGGATCTCATTATGTTGCCTAGGCTGATCTCAAACTCCTGGGCTCAGGCGATCCTCCTGCCTTGGCCTCCCAAAGTGCTGGTGTTACAGGAATGAGCTACCACACCCGTCCCGTTTTGGGAATTTTATTCTTTTTATTTATTTATTTAGAGACAGAGCTTTGCTCTTGCTGCCCAGGCTTGAGTGCAATGGCGCGATTTTGGCTTTCTACAACCTCCACCTCCTGGGTTCAAGTGATTCTCCTGCCTCAGCCTCCTGGGTAGCCGGGATTACAGGCACCTGCCACCACCGCCCAGCTGATTTTTGTACTTTTACTAGAGATGGGGTTTCACTATGTTGGCCAGGCTGGTCTCGAACTCCTGACTTCAAGTGATCCACCAGCCTCAGCCTTCTGAATTGCTGGGATTACAGGTGTGAGCCACCACACCCAGCCTTTGTTTGTTTTAAATAAGTTTTCTTTAGATGGAAATGATCTGAACACACCCCATAATAACCTGACTTAAACAGGAAGCAGAATAATGGAAAAATCTGAGCTATTTACTCTCGACCTAAACAACTTTCTACAAAAGGAGTATTGAGATAAAATTTATTTCTAAATCATTTGACCTAATATGGGAAAGTTTCTCCTTTATATCCCTTCTCTCAGCAGAAAAAAAAATCCTCATCTTACTCCTCTCATCCCAGCACTTTGGGAGGTGGAGGCAGTTGGATCACCTGAGGTCAGGAGTTCAAGACCAGCCTGGCCTACAGGGTGAAACCCTGCCTCTACTAAAAATACAAAAATTAGACAGGTGTGGTGGTGAGCACCTGTAATCCCATCTACTCTGGAGGCTGAGGTGGGAGAATCGTTTGAACCCGGGAGGGGGGAGGTTGCAGTGAGCCGAGATCTTGCCACTACACAGCAACCTGGCCGACAAATGTGAAACCCTTGTCTCAAAAAAAGAAAAAGAGGCACGGTGGCTCATGCCTGTAATCCCAGCACTCTGGGAGGCCGAGGCGGGCGGATCACAAGGTCAGGAGTTCAAGACCAGCCTGACCAGTATGGTGAAATCCCGTCTCTAGAAAAAAAAAAAAAAAAAGAATAAAAAAATAAATAAAATAAAGAATCGGCTGGGTGCGGTGGCTCACGCCTGTAATCCCGGCACTTTGGGAGGCCAAGATGGGCAGATCATGAGGTCAGGAGTTCAAGATCAGCCTGGCCAAGATGGTGAAACTCCGTCTCTACTAAAAATCACAAAAAAATTAGTTGGGTGCAGTAGCAGACATCTATAATCCCAGCGACTTGGGAGGCCGAGGCAGGAGAATTGATTGAATCCAAGAGGCAGAGGTTGCAGTGAGCCAAGATCACGCTACTGCACTCTAGCCTGGGCAACAGAGCAAGACTCCGCCTCAAAAAAAAAAGAGAAAAAATTCTTCACACAGTAACCTTCCCCAAAACCCACAGACCATATCGTTTACAATCCCAGGGAAATTAACATAGCAGTATCAAAAGGTGTATCAAGACTATTACACAAGCCAAATAGAGTTGGGGTTGGGAAGGGTCTATTTGTTACAGTATATATAGGAGACTGGAGAGATGAATGGGTTAAACAGGAGGATTTTATTAAGTTGGCTACCAGATTAGAGGATTAGCATTTTAAGTTTGAACCCCAGAGAAAGAAAATGGGGTATTTTTATACATTTAGGATGACATAGCAGCTAACAGATTTACAGAAGTTAGAACAAAGAACAGTTAATTAATTTGCAACATGTTTTGTGATGTACGTTACATTTGAAAACAGCATTTTGAGAAACTCACTGTACAAAATGTACAGTTATCTTGCCCTGTGACCTTGCAGCTGGCCAGCAGGAGAAACAGAAGTTTTGGGATGCCTGGGAACTTTGCTGAGAATGTGGGGAGAATAGATAAGGTAGGTTTTATAGAGAGTTAGTTAATTTTAAGCAGAGCTGGGGTTAGGTTTTATATTAAACAGCACACAACACAGCAAAATTTATTATATGGCAACTACAAATTATAAGGTTTTGTTTTTACTATTATTGCTATTATTTAATTTCCTTTTTTACGTTGATAGCAAGGAAAGCCAGTTCTATAATGGGATTATCCCTTTTCCTAAACACTTTGCTACTGCTGCTTCTACTTCAACCAGTTTCACCCAGAAGACAACATGGTATGATTTTAAAAGGGCCTGGGCTGGCCAGTCACAATGATTCATGCCTATAATCCCAGCACTTCGAGAGGCTGAGGCAGGCAGATCACTTGAGCCCAAGAGTCCAAGACCAGCCTGAGTAACACAGTGAGACCCCATCTCTATTTTAAAACTAAAAATGTGTGATAAATTTAAAAAATAATTACAGTTTTTGAAGAGGCAAGGTGTTGCTATGTTAACCAGGCTGGAGTGCAGTGGCTATTCACAGGCATGATCCCACTAATGGTCAGGAGTTTTGACCTGCTCTGGTTCACTCCTCCTTAGGCAACCTGGTGATCCCTTACTCCTGGGAGGTCACCGTATTGATGGCAAACTTAATGCAGACAACTGATTGACTTAATGCACCACAGCCCAGAACTCCTGGACTCAAGCAATCCTCCCACCTCAGTCTCCCTAGTAGCTGGGACTACAGGTATACACCACCATGCCTGGACTCTGAATGCTTTTATGAGAATCCAAGAGAGCACAAGAGGTAGAATCTGATCACTGTGTAGCACATTTAGTTATAGACAATGCTGATTTGTTCCAGTCTGTTATGAAATCCAGAGCATTTCTGAAAAAGGACCAATGTTAACTTGTCTACCCCAAACCTTGTCTTTCCCCCTTTTATCTATGGTAAGGTACCAGTAGCTCAATGGCAGAGAAAGAGTTTCAAGTATCTTTCAAACATCCAACTATTTCCAGTGGTGATTCAATAGGCCCAATAAACATCTTCAAAATCTTCAGGTGTTACTTTAGTTCCCATCTGTTAGTGCTCTAGGGGTCTCTCAAATTCAACAGTTCTCATCTCTAGTGGAAGCTGTGATACCACTCCTCTCTAGAAACAAGGAGGGCATCTTCTGATTGCTGTGTTACCCATACTTGCATTCTGGGTGCTAGAGACGCTAAGGATCCTACAATGCATGAATGATCCCACCTACAATACCATTAATTCTCGAGATAAGAAGCCTTGATTCCTGTAATAAAATAACCTCCAGTGTGTTTCAAAGGTTCCTGACAAATAACCTTTATCCAAAAGTATTGGCAAACCACCGTATCTTTTAGTGTATTTAGTTCCTATACTACAGAGCTGTGCCATCCAATATGGGAACCACTAGCCACATGTGCCTATTTGAAATGCAGCTAGTTTAAATGGAAAGGCACTATGAAGTGTAAAATATATCCCAGATTTTCAAGTGTTAGCACACACACATACACACACACACACCCCTCATTAATAACTTCTGTATTAATGTTGAAATAGTATTTTCACGGCTGGGCGCGGTATCTCACACCTGTAATCTCAGCACTCTGGGAGGCCGAGAGGCAGGTGACTCGCTTGAGCCTGGAAGTTCAAGACCAACCTGGGCAACATGGCGACACCCTGCCTCTACTAAAAACGGTCACCCAGGCTGGAGTGCAGTGGTGCAATCTTGGCTCACTGGAACCTCCACCTCCTGGGTTCAAGCCTTTCTCCTGCCTCAGCCTAGCTCATTTTTTGTATTTTTAGTTAGATGGGGTTTTGCTATGTTGGCCAAGCTGTTCTCGAACTACTGACCTCAGGTGATCCCCCCAGCTCAACCTCCCAAAGTGCTGGGATTGGAGTGTGAGCCACTGCGTCTGGCCTTATAAGCATTACTACTTGTCCTTACTTCACTGAGGAGATAAAATGATTAAGGAAATTAGCCAAGGCTATCCAGTTTGTATCATAAGTGGTAGAGTTAGAATCTAGACCCAGGCAATCTGGCTCCCGAATCTGTGTTCCTAACCAATTCACTATACTGCCTTTCAAAAGCAGTATCATTAGAACAGAAGCTCCACAAGGGGGAGATTTTGTTTATTGCTGTGTCTTCTAATTCAGGAAGAGTGCAGGAGTGGGAAGAAAAAAACAAAGACGGTTGTGATTCCTAAGGAAGTAAACGAAAAGGTGTCTGTGTCTTTTTTTTCCCAAAGGCTGGAAAAAAAAAGGAACTTACTCAGAAAAGCCTTTCCACTTCAGTAGATATTCCACTTGTCCCTTAACCACGCGTCTGTCTAGCACCTTCTCCACAACATACTCCTCCTCATCCTCTGAAGAAGAACTGTCAGCTGTCCGCTTGGTTTTCTTTCCCATGTCGCACACCGTTCCACCTGAAAGACTAAGGCCACCGGGCTCCTGCAATGGCAAAGGACAAAATGGTTAGAATCCATGTGAGGAGTTAAAAACTTTCTGTCTCTTCTTGATGGGATGAAAAGGGGATAACACCAAGTTGCCATGTGCCCTGCTCTTGAGTCTCAAATCATTCTACAGATGAGTACTAAGAATTTAATTTAGAAATCTATCAGTCTTCACTTCCTCAACGACTAAAGAGACCAAAATTATTAGAATGCATAACTGTCTAACTCTTTTATTTCAGATTCCAAAAGACAAGTAGTGTGGTATGTTATTCCTGGCCAAGAACTCAAACAGAAATGTGGGAAATCTTCACTTAAATGAAGCAAGACAGAATTAAACCTTCCCCTCCAAGATGAATAAGGGTCTTTATAAAAGTGAAAAAAACGAAAGCCACTAAAATATAAGTTTTCTGTGCTCTGAGCATCTTGCCCAGTCTCTTAGAAGCACAAAAAAAGGCTTGCTCAGGCATCTTTCACCACATTTTCAGTGACTCGGTACATTTCCCTTAAACAAATTGAGCTTGTCCCTTCAGAGCATCCATCAGCTCATAAAAGCAAGGTTGACATCTCAAACACACTAAGCTTCCTTTTTAGCAAGCTAGTTTGGGGATGGGAGGGAGGCAGGGAGGAGAGAAAAATTTTTAGTCCTTAAATTCAAAATTACTCACTAGATTGTTCAGTAATTCCCAAATAGTTAAGAAGGTACCTCTCCTCTTAACTGAAGTTGACTCAGGGCCAAAGAGGAGGAGGAGGAAAAAGAAGTCTGGCCCCAGACTCAGCATCAACATGAAGCCTCCTCAAAATACAGAGGAACCATTCATAGGCCCAAAGAAAGCTGAAGCAAGAAAACACAAATGGAAATTGAGTTAAGCTCAAAAATATGCACGCTAGGGGATACTCAACAGAGAATCTAGTTTTTTGAATTCTCACGTTGTTGTTCCATAATCATTTTTAAGAATTTTTCTTTAACCATGTTAAATGGTGCCTACTGTCTGGATTATAGAGTAGCAGAAACTGTTTTCTTAGCTGAACTCCATTATTATTTTGCTGTAATCTTTAAAGATGTTTTTCAGCACCCTCTAAATATTTCCACCCTGACAGAAAACCACTTCTAGAAATAGGGAGGGCCCACTACTCATCTCAGAATTATGTTCAAGTCACATAAAAAGTGGCAATTATCAATTCACTTCAAATTATTAAAAATTATTACAAGAATATATAGTTGGAAACCCTATTTCCAGAACTTATTAGCAATAGGTCTGCCCACCTAGAAACTGCCTATACCCATTACTGCCCTATCACTGATTTTTATTAAAATATTCTATTTGAAAGAGGAAGTAGTAGGAAAATGTAGGTGGGGGGGGTAAAATAATTTTTCCATGAATTTAGAAGAATCCTAAGCTTCAAGAAAATATCTGATTTGGTTTATTTAAAATAAAACAGCCTCCGACCTCACCAGAGGCAGGAAATGTCATATTCCAGGGAGAGTACCCCACCCCCACCCCCACCCCCACTCACCTTGGAATTTCCGGGAGCTGAGCAGTTTAGGTCAGAGCGCTGGGGTTAAAACCAGCCCCATGTTAGATGCATGCAGTTAAGCATTGTGGCTATGGCCTCCCCTGCCTCACCAGGAAAAACAAGGATTTACATGTGTTCTTCATTTTGAGGGAGAGAAAAGGAATATCTCCCTTTATACCTTCATGCAGAAGAGGAGCCCCAAAGGTAGAAGATGAATGGGGTTCCCTCCTTTACCTACCGGATCGCCCCAGTTCTTTCTTTCCCTCTGGGCTAACAGGAGGGGCCTCCCCTCCCAGGTCTGGGTCTTGGCGGGCTGGCAGCTCCCCCGCCCCCACCCAGCTGCCTGGGCGCCACTGCGCAGCTGTCCCAGTCCGTTGCCATAGCAACTGGCAGCAGTACTACACTAAGGGGGAGAGGCAAATGGAAAAGTTAAAAGGCTTAACTTTCCTTTTCAGTGAAGACTGGGTGGAGAAGTTGGAAGGTACCTCCCTTGGCCTCAAGGCTAAGGCATTCAGAACTCAAGGGAATTACTTCTTAGGTTTTAAACCCAGAATTTATGCTTATTTCTCTAAGAGCTCTGTAAATTAATCAATAGCATTTTAAGATCATCTAACAAGATTACAGCTCAACTGAAGGGGGGAGGGGAAAGGCTGGATCCTTCTACAACAGGATCAGTACAAACCACCCATCCCCTAATCCAGCCCACCAGAAGCACTTCGGGCAATACCATTTTACCATCTGTCACTCACCAGTTAATTAAAATTGCTTGAGGGGAAAAATAACAGGAAACGGGGGAGGGGAAATATTTTAAAGACACTATAATAACTTTCCTTCTTTGGTAGGATTACTAGAGACAATCCAAAGACTTGAAACACTAAAAAAAAAAAAAAAAAAAAAACCCTTTTAATTAAAATTACAGGTGGAGGGCTGGGCACAGTGGCTCCTGCCTGTAAATCCCAGAACTTTGGGAAGCTGAGGCAGGCAGATCATTTGAAGTCAGAAGTCTGAAACCAGCCTGATAAATATGGTGAAATCCTGTCTCTACTAAAAATACAAAAAAATTAGCCAGGCGTGGTGGCAGGCGCTACCTCCCACCTACTCTGGAGGCTGAGGCAGGAGAATTGTTTGAAACTGGGAGGCAGAAGTTGCAGTGAGCTGAGGTGGTACCACTGCACTCCAGCCTAGAAGACAGAGTGTGACTCTGTCTCAAAAAAATAAAATAAATAACGGGTGAGAAAAAAATTCCTAAGTTAAAAAAAAAAAAAAGAGGACAGCAGTTCTACCAACCCAATGGTTGTTAAATTAAAACCACTTCTAGGCTGTTCTATAATGTTAAGAAACAGATTTGTTAATAACTATTCATCACCTGATACATTATTAATGTACAACTCTGTACCAGTATGTCCCAATACTTGATGAGTACTGGGATAAATAAAAAAGATAGTTAGAGACTTGAAATTCCGTAAATTTTCCATTCTTCTGGCTTTAAAGAACATTTTAGAGGGCTCCAAACTTTACTCTGCTTTATAGATGTGGGAACTTCAAAGCTGGAAGTGGCTGCCATAGGAGAGTAAGAAAAAGGGACAATCAGAAGCAAAGAACTCAGTTGAGAAGAAGCAGAGAATGGTGACTATTTTGGCTGTCAAACAGAAGCAAAGTAGAAAATTTTTAATTACAAAAGATTTTCTCAAATTTGAAAGGCTCACAAGCAAACCTCCAATTAAAAACTGTTTTTCAATTCTTCTTACCTTTTTTTAAGCATTTCATAATTAAGGGGTATGAAAACAATGCCAGACATTTAAATAGGATCCTGACTCTGATTAACTTGCCATGTATTGACCTTGAGTAAATAAATTTCCCATCTAACCCCAACATCATTTAAACGAGTCAAATAAATCCCCACTACCCACCTCCTAGGGAAAAAGTGAGTTTATGTTGAAACCAAAGATGTAATAAGTCCCCCAAAGAGAACCTTATGTAAAAATATGTCAGGGCCTAATACAACAGCAGAAGAAAACATGTGACCTTCCAAATTCCTAAGCTAGTAAACCCTATCACGTGGTAACTCCTGCAGCTCAACACGTTAGTAGATAGCAAGAAAAAGAGAACAGTGTGTTTGTTAACTAGGCACTAGACAACTAATAAACCTTCAGAGAACAGGGTAGGTATGTTCTCTCTCAAAGGGTAAAATAACTTATTCCTGGCCAGGTGTGGTGGCTCACGCTTGTAATTCAAGCACTTTGGAGGCCGAGGTGATAGGATCACCTGAGGTCAGAAGTTCAAGACCAGCCTGACCAACATGGTGAAACCCCATCTTTAAAAAAAAAAAAAAAAAAAACTTATTCCTTAAAACTCAGAAAAATGCCAGGTGCGGTGGCTCATGCCTATAATCCAGCACTTTAGGAGGCCAAGGCAGGCGGATCACGAGGTCAAGAGATCGAGACCATCTTGGCCAACATGGTGAAACCCTGTGTCTACTAAAAATACAATAATTAGCTAGACGTGGTGGCCCATGCCTGTAGTCCCAGCAACTTAGGAAGCTGAGGCAGGAGAATCGCTTGAACCTGGGAGGCAGAGGTTGCAGTGAGGCAAGATTGTGCCACTGCACTGCAGCTTGGGTGACAGCGAGACTCTGTCTCAAAAAAAAAAAAAAAAAACCACAAACTTTGAAGATGGCAGAATGAAAAGACTAACAGTAATTCTGTAAAGGAATAAGGAACAGGAAAGAATGACAGCAATACTAACATTTTGGTGAAACCCTTCAGAGAAAGAAAAGTGAATTTAATGAAGAAAGAGACAAAAATATTCTGGTATCCACCCCTCCCCACAAAACATCAGGAAATAAAGATTGAGATCAATTCCCTCCTTTCCACCCTTAAGAAGTACTTAAATGGCACATGGGCTGAGGTCCCTTTCTTTTAGGGAAATGGGTTTTGTAACCGCTGACAAATCGAATTGGGCCTGATGCCAGGAGTCAGAGTCCAACCATAATATTCTTTAAAGAATGGCATGCAATTGTCTTGTAAATCTCCTGGACAGTCACAGATCAGAAGCTGGCAAGGATGACGACATAGTTCTGATGGAATGTGTCTTATCTTAACCTTGAAGTTACAGATCTGCTCAGGAGCAGCAGTAAGAAATGAGAAATGCACTCAGTCATCGGAGGGGACATAATTCTCTTTTAGACAGCGCGACCCAGAGTATTAGGGTCAAATGAAACACAAAGCCACTTGAACAATTTAAGGGCTAGAGCCTGGACCAGATAAAGCATCAAGACTGGTGTTTCACAGTGAGCTTAGGAGGAGGGAGCTTTCCAGCATGAGAAATGAGACACGGCAGGCAGGATGATGGAGTGATTAAGGTAGAATCCCAATACCATGACAGAGGAAAAGACATGAGCCTCTGAACACAACCTTATCCTTGTGAAAATCTCCAAGGGAAAGGGTGAGCAGCTTCTCAAATTTCCAGAGTCTTTCACACATAACAGCTCTCAGCCCCCTCTCTTAAATATAAAGGAACTCTCTGGTAAAACTACCAATAACTAGATAGATTAAAGCAACTAAAGTCCATAAAGAGATGAGAAAGGCCTGGCGCGGTGGCTCACGCCTATAATCCCAGCACTTTGGGAGGCCGAGGCAGGTGGATCATGAGGTCAACAGATCGAGACCATCCTGTTCAACAAGGTGAAACCCCATCTCTACTAAAAATACAAAAATTAGCTGGGCATGGTGGCGCGTGCCTGTAATCCCAGCTACTCGGGAGGCTGAGGCAGGAGAATTGCTTGAACCCAGAAGGTGGAGGTTGCGGTGAGCCAAGATCGTGCCATTGCACTCCAGTCTGGGTAACAACAGCGAAACTCCGTCTCAAAAAAAAAAAAAAAAAAAAGATGAGAAAAGAGCAGACTCTAACAACCCTCCATATCAACAACACAAGGCAAATTTATCATATAGGCCTCTGATTGCTGGGGGAAGGCACCCAAACCAGGGATCTGGTGAGAAGTCAGCCTTGGAAAACCATCAAAGAACTTTATGGTCACTCTTGTTGCCCAGGTTAGAGTGCAATGATGGTACAATCTCAGCTCACGGCAACCTCCACCTCCCGGGTTCAAATGATTCCACTGCCTCAGCCTCCTGAGTAGCTGGGATTATAAGCATGCGCCACCACACCCAGCTAATTTTGTATTTTAGCCACTGTGCCTAGCCAGGAGACTCTTCTTCCAAAAAGTAGGATCCGTATCTTCCAAAAAGTAGGTACGGGGAAGAGATGAGGAGGTAAAGCAGAAAGAAGGGGATGGGATTAAAAAAATTAAAAGAGGAGAAAAAAATCCTTACATTAAAAGTTTAAAAGGTATCAGTCCCCAGAAATTACAGAGAGAACATCACAAGCAAGCTAGGGCTGCCCAGAAAAAAGAGGTAGGCCAGGCCTGGTGGCTCATGCCTGTTAATTCCAGCACTTGGGAGGTTGAGCCAGGCAGATCATGAGGTCAGGAGTTTGAGATCAGCCTGGCCAAAATAGTGAAACCCCGTATCCACTAAAAATACAAAAAAAAAAAAAAATGAGTCTGGTGTGGTGATGCACGCCTGTAATCCCAGCTGCACAGGAGGCTGAGGCAGGAGAATCACTTGAACCCAGGAGGCAGAGACTTCAGTCAGCCCAGATGGCACCACTGCAGTCCACCCTGGGCGACAGGGCGAGACTCCATCTCAAAAACAAAAACAAAATAAGAGGTAATGGTTAGCCCTTGGCATTGACCATTTAATCCTAGAACAACCCACATGGGGTCCCTGTTATCTGTCTGCTTTGTCCAGTTCAGGCTCTACTCTCGTCCCTCCAGTCATTACTTTTCTTTTGAGACAGTCTTGTTCTCTTGCTCAGGCTGTGGTGCAGTGGCGCAATGACAGTTCACTGCAGCCTCAAACTCCTGGGCTCAAGCAATCCTCCCACCTCAGCTTCCTAAGTAGCTGGGACCACAGGGGCACAACACCATGCCTAGCTACATTTTTCAATTTTTATTTTATTCTTATTTTTTTTGAGACAGAGTTTTGCTCGTTACCCAGGCTGGAGTGCAATGGCGCGATCTTGGCTCACCGCAACCTCCGCCGCCTGGGTTCAAGCGATTCTCCTGCCTCAGCCTCCCGAGTAGCTGGGACTACAGGCATGCACCACCATGCCCAACTAATTTTTGTATTTTTAGTAGAGACGGGGTTTCAC